CCCCCCCCCCCCCCCCCTCTCTCTTTCGCTCCCCCTCTTTCCTCATAGTGATGATAGTGATGACCGTTGATAGAGCATTATTTGAGTTTCAAAAAGGTAACCGTCGAGTAAAAACTCCTGACTGCCGCAGAGTCACCCGTACATTACTTCTAGTTTTGTGCGTTGGCCGCCTGCTTTTCGCGTGTCTTTGGTTTGACCTGGCCTATGACTCTGGACACAGTAGAAGCTCCTTGACATGGGCAACCGGGCGTGGTGGCCTAGACGACGGTGTGTGATGTTGAATTCAACCTTGGCAGGGTCGTCCACTCGCACCAGCGGTGTTCCATGCTCCGTGGTGATTTGCGAGGAGCAGGGATAGTCGGTCTCGTTTGCCCAACCGTCGATGCCTTTGTGAATCGTGCAGTCCCTCGAGCTGGAGGATTGGTTGTTTAGGTGTTTCTGTTTCACACGTTCAGTAGCGGACCTGCATGACGACATCTCGTACCTGTGCGTTGCATTCCTCGACGTATGCGGCAATGTCAGCTCTGGAAGTAGATGGAAATGGTCGGCTACTGTTTGCTTAGAAGAGTGTAGGGCGATCTGGTGGTGGACCTGTTGTAACCACATGTCTTTACTCCTGACTGCCGCACAGTCACCCCTACATTGCATTACATGGAGTGATTTTTTCGTGTGATAGCTGCCTATTTTTCTTGTGTCTTTGGGGGTTTGACCTGGCCTATAAGTCTCGGCATACTAGGAACTCCTTGACTTGGCCGGACGTGGTCACCTGGACGACGGCTGTTTCATGGCGAATTCAAGCTTGCAACGTCGTCCATCGCACTAGCGACGTTCCATGCTCCGTGGTGATTTGCGAGGAGCAGGTTTCGGCGGTGTGTTTTCCCTCTTAACGTCGATGCCGTTGTGAGTCGTGGTGTCCCTCGAGCTGGATGGGCTGTTTAAGGTGTTTCTGTATCGCATGTAGCGGACCTGCGCGACATCTTGTACCTGTGCGTGGCATTCCTCGGAGTTTCCGTACTCGTCGAGTACGTATTTCGTAATTTCAGCTCTGGGGAGATGGTTAGGTCGGCTACTGTTTGCTTTGAAGAGTGTAGTCTAGGGCGATCTGGTGTGAACCCCTTGTTTTCTGCCCGCTGCAATCAATGTAGGCTGTAGTTTCTCACGGCACCTTTTGCGATTCCGTGAAGATGCACCGTTTGCACGGTAAAAAACGTTTTTTATTGCCCGCCTTCAGTATTTTCGTTCGAAACAAAACTACTTGCTCACAACTCAAACACTTTGAGTTGTGACCCCCCGCCTCTACCTCCCACCCTGCCGCCCCCGTTCCCCTTCCGATTCGCCGCGTTCCTCTGCAGGGAAGCAGAAAACATTCGGCGCAAGCTAAAGTCTTGCACTGAACCCGCACGCTCCCGACCCGACGGTGCCGTGGGTGGGAAACCCCGTCGATGCCACAACGAGAGCACCAATTTTGACGGAAATGGTCCGGAGGTGAGGGGATGGTCTGTTGGGGACGCTTTCAGGAAACTGGCCCTGATTGCGTTTCACATTGTTCCGGAGTCGCCGGTGGACGGTGACCGTGACCTGATTCACAATGTGTAGCTCCAACGTTCCAACGCTCGGATGCTGTCTATATTCCATGGATTTTGAGCATTTGTCCTATTTTCCTGTGCTTCCATGGCGCCGTACTCTCAGCAGCAAGCACGCAATGACTAAGGAGGCTGACCAGGCTAGCGCGGGAGGCAGAAGTGAGCGCAAGCGGAAGAGGGGGCAGGGCAAGGCGGACAAGGAGAATTCAACCGGGAACAAGGGTATAACAGAGGTAATATCAGATAAAGGAGACGTTTGCGGCAACGCCAAATGCGAAACAAAATAGCAAAGTACTTGCTCGCAAGTAAGTGTGTTGCGGTGTCGATGGGTTTCTACCGTAGGGTTGACTCCTTGCTTGTTTGTCCATACCATAGGCGGAGCATTCGGTATCATCAGCGTCGAATGACGTCAAGCTGATGATATCGGTAGTCCTTCTTGGCAACTTGGCATTTTCTAAATGGCCCAAGGGAACCTTAGCGCACCTGGCTAGTCTCAACGCTGGAGTACACCCGCGGGCACGACGGGGCTGGAACTAGGACGTTATGACTACTACTAGCGATCACGTATTTGATGTCCCTAACGGCCCAGTCGCAGTCCCGTCGAGCCCGTGCTGTATTTTCCACTGCTGCCGGTCTAGCGGAAAGAGACTTCATTGTCATTTCATCGATCTCGTTTTTGAAACATGTTGTGGAAATCATAGAACTGGTCCGATGAAATTGTTCAACTCGTCGATCCAACTCCATGGCAGTGTGTTCCTGCAGAAGTGATAATCGGTATTTTCAGACTTTGCAACGCAAGCATCAGCACCAAGGGAACGATGGTAGTCTAATCCACTGCGACGTTTCTGCACATGAAGGCACGAACTCAACTGGCTGTGCAATACCTAAACCAACCATGGTTATCCGGTTTGCGCCCGCTGGGACCAGGTGGTCATGGCGACTGATATGCGACGTACCGTCGCCGCCGCCGTCGCCGCGAAAGCGGAGGAGGTGGTGGTGGTCAGAAAAGCCACCACCGCCGCCGCTGTCGTCGTCTCTGCGGAGGAGTGCGCCATAGTCCAGGCCACCGCCTCGGCGAAGGAGTTCGCCACCGCCGCGACCATCGCCACCCATGTCACCACCGCCGCCAGGGAACCTCCATTGAAGTGCTCGGTTATCGTGAGGGCAGCCGCCAACGCCGTCGGGTTTGCGGAGGAGTTTGCTATCGCTGCGAAATCGTCTGCGAAAGTCGCCGTGAAAGCGGCCGCCTCTGTGGAGAGGGTCGCGGTCGCAGCAAAGTCGCCGCCTCCACCTGCTCCTCCGCAGCCGCCACTTCCGCCTCTGCCGCCGCCGAAGCCGCCACCAGCGCGTCTAAGGAGGAATAGGCCGTCACCACGAAAGACCCCGTCGCTGTCGCCGCCATTGCCCCTCCGGAGGACTGCGCGGCCGCCACCAAACCCGCTCTCGGCTCCGTCGCATCCACCCTCCTTGGATCTGAGGCGACTTTGGTTGTCGCTACGAAAGCAGCCACCGTGGCTGCCACCGCCTTCTCTACGCGAGACTTCGCTGCGGCGCCAAACCCACCTCGTCGTTCGCCTTAGCCGCCGCCAGTGGATCTATGGTGACTTTGGCGGTCGCTACGAAAGCGGCCACCGCCTCCGTCGCCGCCTTCTCTGCGGGGGACTTCGCGTCAAACCCACTTCCGCCTTCGCCTCAGCCGCCGCCAGTGAATTTAAGGTGACCTCGGCCGTCGCTACGAAAGCGACCACCGCCTCCGCCGCCGCCTCCTCTGCGGCCGAATTCGCTGCTGGCAAGAAACCCACCTCCGACTTCGCCTTAGCCGCCGCGAGTGGATCTCAGGAGGAGTTTCCCGTGGTTACGAAAGCCCCCGTCGCTGTCGCCGCCGTAGCCTCTGCGGAGGACTTTGCGGCCGCCGTCAAACCCACTCTCGCCGTCGGAGCCGCCGCCGGGGCATCTGAGGAGGAATCAGCCGTCACTACAAAAGCCCCCGTCGCTGCCGCAGTCGTTGCCTCTGCGGAGGACTTTACCGCTACCACCAAACCCACCCTCGCCTCCGTCGGAGCCGCCGCCCGGGCAGCTGAGGAGATTTTGGCCATCCCTACGGAAGCCACCATCGCCGCCGGCGCCACGTTCCCTCCGAAAGAGTTCGCACCAGCCGCTTGCGCCGCCGCCGCCGCTGTAGACGCCATCTGGGCCTCTCTTGCGGCTGAAGCAGCCGCCGCAGCGAACGCTGCCGATGGTCACAGGACATGAAAGCCGCCGTCGCTACCGCCACTGGAATAGCACGCTTCGCCTGATGTGATCACCCCGTGCTCCACGCACCAGCTCACCGTCTGTCAAGATGTGATCGTGGACATGGTGAATGCAAGGTCGGCTGGCAGGTCGGTGTCGCTAGTAGGGGGTGCAAGAGGTGATTGCGTATTTGTGTGCTTTGTTTGACATGACGAACATACATGTCTTGCTGCCTTCTTGTTGGATTTGGCACGCGAAGGTGAAGGGCCTCAGAGCAATGACGTCTAGGGCGGGGGGCAGTTCACGTCTGCTTGTCCTTGCTTGTACTGCTGTGCCTAAACCTAGTTCCAGCGACCCGTCGGGCCCGTGTGTACGAGTGCAGAGGGTTGGCCGAGTATTGAAGCAACAATCCAATTCGGTTTCACCTCTTCCATGCAACGGGGAGGGTTTGAACAACAAGGACGGCTCCAGTGACCCGTCGGGCTCGTGTGTACGAGTGCAGAGGGTTAGCCGCGAATAGAAGCAATAGTACCCTTCGCTTTCACCTCCTCCGTGCAACGGGGAGGGTTTGAACAACAGGGACGGCTTGCCTTACAAAGACGCTTTCGAGTGGAAAAATCATCGTCGAAACTTTTTTCATCCGTTTGTTCCCCTGCCTACTGTAGCACACATAAATGCCGCAGTTGGGGAAGAGATATTCGACATGCTCCATGTGTTGTTGTGTGCCCAGGAGCTGTCCAGCATTATTTGTGTGTACTCGGCGCAAGATTGCCCAATTGAATTCAATTAATGTATGGAAAACAGCCATCTGCAGGCAGGCACGGGGAGTGGTGGTGCTTGTATCGTGTTGGTAGGACCCGTATTGCAACGACGGGTTAGGGTTGGCCACGGGTTGGACACCAGCACAAGATGTGCCGTCGAGCATTCTGCTCGGGCTGTGCGATGTAAGCGAAACCCACGAGACCTTGACGCCATGATGCATGCTGATTGAGAGTGATCGCCGTTGCCGTTGGCCGGTTTACGCTATCGATACGTGATTTGAAGGTGTGCGACTTACAACGAGAGGAAAATCAAAGGTTTGAGGGGGTGGAGGGGTTTATCTCTACATGTTTACGGACAGCTTTATCCTGTAGAGTAGACAATGTTGTGGTGTGCTCATGGCTGTGCCGTGCTTCAGAGTCTCAATGTTTCTTTTTTTTAGACATGGGGTATTCCGTCTATCTATCTGGAGCCAAGAGCATATTCGTAAAGTATCCCTAGAGAGAGCATTATCCTAGAAGATGAAATCAGATGGACTTGTCCCTGGGGTATCAAGGGTAGTTGTTGCTACTGCTGCTGTTGGGGTCGGGTCTCCACATGGAAGCATCTCGTTTGTTTATTGCAATGTGTAGCCCGTGGTATCATGGAGTGAATACTGAAAGTCAGGTTGATGACTTGGATGTTTTGTATTCTGTTGGGTGTCTTGTGGGATCTGTTTTGACCACACGACACATCGTGATCGTTGAGGCTGAATTTGAATGTTGTTGTGAGAGTAACTTTGAGCAAGCTATCCTTCATGTCATTGTGTCGATGCGCGGTGGTGTGGTGTGGCGACCGTGAATGTTTTTTTCCTAGAATAGTGCACTCCGTTTGGTACTTGACCTGTTGTTTGGGGCCTGGGATAGCAAGATACACGTACGTGGTGGTGCGAATAGAGAAGGAATGCATGAATAGATAATGTGGATGTGGGGTGGGATAGGTTCGTTCGCGCAAAGCTTAACCTTGGCCATGTGGTGTGGTTCGTTGTCGAAAATCGGCTTGGAGATGGTTTTCTGAGTAAGCCGCGTGGTGAGAAAACAAGTTCAACTTTAAGAAACGGGCATAACAAGTTGGTTGTTGTAAGCATCTCTCATACAATGTATGGTCATGCGGTGGTTGTGGTGTTCTTAGATGATGATGTCTCTCAAGTACAATCTACAATGTAAATCCATTCAGTGCCGATAGCCTTCCTTAACAAAAACTTGGCGCCGGGAACGACTAGCCCTTCCCCGGCTTCGCTGATCACCACCGAATGGGGAGTCAACGCTGCCGTTGTGGTGGTTCACTGGTCCGGCGAGATTCTTAGGAACTACAGAAACGGACTTGCGCACAACCGTGTGCCGCCGCATCCACATACAACTTGAGATATTTGAATTTTTGAAATTTCAAGTTCCATCAGTTGACGATAAACAAATAGTGTGTGCACGGCGGCGTCCGCCTCATTCTAATCCGATCAAGCTCGCGGGTTTAACACATCATTATCGTTACGGTGGGCGCAGGCAGAACAGTCCCCTGTGACGACGCATGGTCCACTATTGCTGTATGTACGTACAACACATGACTGCTGCCCCGTCGTGTGGTAAATATGTGGACCAGTCTACTGCAGATTCGAAGGGACCAGACAAAAACTTGAGTTCGGCATGCTTAAGACCTTGGACAACCTCTACTTCTTCCGCCATAGGCACGTCGAAACGATGAGGTATATGCCAACATGTGCAGGCATTATGCAAACAGCAGCATGAGTCCTGTTTCCACCCGTGACGTGGCTGATCTGGACCACGTCTTTTCATTGGTCAGCAAACTGCCCTCCTTTTTTTTTTATTGACGCGTCGCCTCCACAGACAGTCCAGCGAGCGAGAAGCAAGACCCGCACCTTTCCCATCACTCACACGCCTTCCCTCGCACTCGGTTCATCTTTTCGGTTTCTCGCGACCTCTCTCCCACAACAAACAAGGTAAGACATTGTGCCAGGCTGTATGAATAGTGGATGCAACGCTGCCCTGTGGTAGTAACGTTGCCGCCGCTGTGGCGGAAGCAGCAGCGAGGAGCCGCACGAGCTTTTTTGTTCTTCTTCCACAAGTATGGAATGTATTGCCGTGAATGGAATCCAATATCTCTCAAGTTGTCGGTTCTGTGGGGCTGTGATATTGCAGCCTCGCAGTGCAAATTCCCATGGCCAATTTGTTCCACACCATCATCGCTTCCTTGACATATGCCCCACAACACCCAACACCATGCTACAACCGCAACTGCCGTTTTGGATAGGCCACAGGTACTACAACAATCGCAATGGCAGGACCAGCTTCATCCAAGGCCGACATCCACGACTTGGCGGATTCTACTGACTTGACGGGCAAACGAGTCTTCGTGCGGGTGAGGATTGCCCTTACTCGCTCTTAATGTTGTAAACCTACCCTTGAAATGCTGCTCAATGCTCAGCGCAGCGCAGCGCAGCGCAGCGCAGCGCAGCGCAGCGCAGCCCAGCGGCACACTGCGCAGAGAGCTTTGAAGCGATTGCACCGCAAAAATATCCAGCGGACATTCGAAACTGGCTCTCTTCGATTCTTTGCTGACTTCCCAGTACTAAACTATAGTAGTCCACGCCTCGTGGATTTCACGCCATACGCCATACCAGTCGCTCATGTATCTAGCCGCGGCATGCGTGTATCTCGCACGGTTGCCAGATGCATAAGGCTCTCTCGTCGTTCGATTGCTAATCTTTTTTCCGGCAGATTTTGTCTGGGTTCCGTATAGAAGACCGTTCGCTGAAACTGTGCGTTGAATTCCCTCTTTTGTCACCTGATGATGCTGGCGGGCATGGGTCAGTCCACTGCTGGAGCGAAACACGTTCTGCCCGATCTTTACCGAGGAAAACCTGCTGGATGTAGCACGCGTACCAGACAAAATCTGCTTTTTTTGTCGCCCCGACATTCCTCTGCATAACATACTACAGCTGTAGTAAGACGTACAAAACCAGTACCACACGTTCTGAGCACGTTCTACTGGTCGCCCCGGTGGTCTAGTGGTGTCCTCGTAATCCGCTAGTCGCAGAGGTCGTGAGGCCGAATCCCCATGGGGGGGGGTGTACTCATAGTCGTGCATGCCGTAGTCGTTAGACCATTGACCTCGCATCCCTACAAAGCCGGGACGGAGCACGCCGGGTTCTCACCGGACCAGGCTCTCACATCACCAAGCGCGAAGCGCCGTGAGATATTCGGCGAGTCGCATGAAGGGTGCGCTGCATCCTGCTAAGGGTGTTCGGCATCTTGTGCTTACTTCCTTGCGTACGGATGACAGCTGCGTATGACTTAATTTATTTTCTGGTGCTTTCACTTCCAGAGACAGTTGTAAGCACTGTGTAACTGCCTCGAGGGTGCTTGACCATTTTAACACAACGTGGTGCGATCATCCCCCTTGCGCGGAGTGAGGGTTCTCCACCCCGCACAACATGATCTACTCGACCACCATTATGGTTACCGCCAAAAAAAAAAACGGAGGTAAAAAAAAAAAACGGTAACCTGGTTGCCGAGTTCACGAAGTGAATTGGCTTGTTTTACAACGTCGTTGCCAAGCGACGAAAACCCAACCCCGATGGCAAACACCGGGGGGGGCGGCTTGTTTTACAACGTCGTTGCCAAGCGACGAAAACCCAACCCCGATGGCAAACACAGGATCCCCATGGGATGAAAAAAATTACGAAATGTGCGGGTGAAAGCGAAACATAGCTAAAAAAGCTCTCGTGAGTACCAAACTTCGACATTAGCACCGTTGACGAGGGAAAGGGACAGCTGGACCCTTGTCGCGATAATAATAAAATTCAGACGCACCGCAGGAAGCAGGTGGGGCATGAAAAGAAAAAAAAAGAGAAAAAAAGAAAAAAAAGAAGAAAAAAGCCCTGGTGTTTACCCCCTCCTGTGTGACCCTGGATGGTTATGAAAAAATACACTGAAAAGTGTAGCACACGTCTCACCACGAAAAATGGAGGGACTGTCGCCATAATAAATAGGACGAAAACACAACACACACTCCCCCTACAACTAATTGTGTATGATAAAGCCAACGTGCACAACGAGAGTTCGTAAGTTCGTTCTGTGGGGACCGTCATGTTGTCGGGGTGATGCACTCCACTGGGTGTACCAACGGCCTCTGTATCCATCGTCCAAACGCATCCATCCCTGCACTTTTTCGTTTCTACAATCACCCATCAATACAACAAGCGCCCTCTCCTAGATCGAGGCAGTCTCTCTGCCCCCAACTCGCTCTCGCATCTTGACATTCAGTTCATCCTCCGACGACTTCTCAACACGATGTTATTTTTTTTTTTGTTTCCTCACAACGACCGCTCGGGGCATGAACTCGCTCGTTGCGTTTCGTGCGCGGCATCTATGCGCTTGACGACACAGGTGGACCTGAACGCCCCGCTGTCGAAGGACTCGCCGCCCGCCGTGACGGACGCCACGCGCCTGAAAGGGGCGTGCCCCACCATCGAGTTCTTGGCCGACCAGGGAGCCCGGGTCATCCTCGCGAGCCATCTCGGCAGGCCCAAGAAGAAGGTGGTGGATTCGCTCCGCATGGATCCGGTGGCCGCCAGGCTTTCCGCGCTTCTCGGCAAGGAGGCGAGTTTGAGTATGTGTGTGTGTTTTTATTATTAGCATCGAGCTGACCAATGAAAAGACGTCAGTCTTAGTGCGGTTGAAAACACAAAAACTTCTATCTGCCATGAACTGGGATCCCGTGAGGGGGCAGCATCGGGGAGGCCATACTTTCCTTCGGATCAAAGACAGAAACAGCAACAGAAGAAAACTGCACGCGTCTACCAAGGCAACTACCTTGTAATCAATACTGGGTCCTGTGGGCAGACGACGTGCAAGGTCCGTGTTTGGGCTCCGCCTATGTAACGCCTCCTCGTTCAGGCTCAACTCCCTTCGTTTCCTTTCGAAATCAAGTCAAAGGCGAGAAACATGCAACTTCCATAGGACTCGGTTTAAAAATCGGACACAAACGACCTCCGTGCTCAACGACGCCAGGACTGTTGACCATTCTACAAACTTACATCGCTGCTGGGTACAGAGCACCTGTAAACGACGTGCGGGGTACGGCAGACACTCGTGCGAAGAATGCGACTGTTGTCTGCCGCCTCGCATATGAGGAAACCTGCGTTCCGTGACCATCATGCATCACACCCATCACGTCAGGACTAGACGAGTTCGTGCGTTCGTATGCATACGTATGTGCATATTGTAAGGTGAACATATTCTAAGGTGAACGAAACACAACATCTCGCCTTTTGGGACCAAACCGCACTGTTCGACATGTGTCCACATTTATTCATATCTACAGCAAGAGACCACACAGCAGTACTATGTAGCGGTTTAACGCACTGGTGGGTAGCACGAAACATACATACGTGGGTCGATGTGTGTGTGTAGAGTATCGTCAACAACAGCAGTTGACATGGAGTCCTTGGTACCAAGCATCTTCCCTGTACGCGATAGATTTATGCACGTTTCGAATATTTTTTAGAGCTGTGCTGTGTGTGCTCATGGGTGTACTCATAGTCATGCATGCCGTAGTCGTTAGACCATTGACCTCGCATCCCTACAAAGCCGGGACGGAGCACACCGGGTTCTCACCGGACCAGGCTCTCACATCACCAAGCGCGAAGCGCCGTGAGATATTCGGCGAGTCGCATGAAGTGCTCATGGGGGTTATTTAATTTTTTGTAGCATCTTGTGCTTACT